CCGGGCTCTCGTGCGGCTCTCCACGGGCACAGTGGCGGCCCCTCCCCCCCCCCTGGGCCTGCCGCCGCGGGGCGCGAGAGGCGCGCGAGGCGCGCGCCAGGCGCTCAGACCTCCAGCGCGCCCACGAGCAGCGGCGCTCTCTCCTCCGCCGTTGGCCTCCGCATGGGGGCCCGCTGTCGGCGCCCCCCCCCCCGGGGCTCCGCCGGCGAAGGGCTCTGGGTGGGGAGCTGCTGGCCCTGGGGAGAGCGCTGGGACCTCCGGGGGAGGGGGGGGCGTAGTGTAGACTCTTTTTTTCTGGCAAGGCGACAGAGATGCACCACTGGAATTCCTAAAACACTTCGGTCAGGAATCCAACTCCTATCGAGCGCAACCCTGAGCTGCCGGATGTTATATATCTGACTCTGAGCACCGTGCACTAACACGAAAACTTAAAGTCCGACATTCTGCTGGGGCGGGCCGCAAGCCACAGGGGGCGTAGTGTAGACTGGTGGCCGCGCGCCTGTGCACTGAGGTGTCTGGGCCCCGTTCCATGGGGCTTCGCAGGAGCGCCACAGGGCAACGTGTCGTGTACATTGGTTCGGCCAGTTCTCTGGGCCTCCAGGTGGCAGGTGTTGAGCACACTACGTCTACATATACACATGTGTCTATTAACATGGACATGTATACATACACACTGTGCTTGGGCCACCATATGTCACTAAGTGGTAGGCCTAGGTAATGGGCATGTTCAAAGCCCCAGAACAAAACAACTATCCCGGCAAAGCAACCTAACAGCGATGTGTATAAGCATATCTGGAAGCACTCCCCTTAAGATTCAGGTGAGAATCCAGTTGTAGAATTATGCTGTTCTCGCAGTCGAAGTCGCATTCGCAATGACAGTCGCAGTGGCAACGGCCTTAGGATCCAATGTAATCCTAAGGATTTCTAGGGATTCCTAAGGCATCCTGAGGCATTCTTAGGAATCCAATGGAATCCTTAGGAAACTGTTGGGAATCCTTGGGAATCCTGATCCCTAGGGATTCCTAGGGATTCCTAAGGATTCCTAAGGAATCCTAAGGATTCCGAAGGATTCGCCTGCCTCGGCCTCAGCCTCAGCCTGCCTCAGCCTCAGCCTGCCTCGGCCTCAGCCTGCCTCGGCCTCAGCCTCAGCCTGTCTCAGCCTCAGCCTGCCTCAGCATCAGCCTCAGCCTCAGCCTCAGCCTGCCTCGGCGTGCCTCGGCCTCAGCCTCATGCCTCGGCCTCAGCCTCAGCCTCAGCCTGCCTCAGCCTCAGTCTCAGCCTGCCTCAGCCTCAGCCTGCATCAGCCTCAGCCTCAGCCTGCGGCAGCCGCAGCTTGCCTCAGCCTAAGCCACAGCCTCAGCCTCAGCCTGCTTCAGCTTCAGCCTCAGCCTCAGCCTGCCTCGGCTTGCCTAAGCCTCAGCCTCAGCCTGCCTCAGCCTCAGCCTTAGCCTCAGCCTGCCTCAGCCTCAGCGTCAGCCTCTCAGCGTCAGCCTGCATCAGCCTCAGCCTCAGCCTCAGCCTCAGCCTCAGCCTGCCTCAGCCTCAGTCTCAGCCTGCTTCAGCCTCAGCCTGCCTCAGCCTCAGCCTCAGCCTGCCTCACCTCAGCTGGACTGCTCAGCCTCAAGCCTCAGCCGCCTCACTGCAGCCTCAGCCTGCCTCGGCGTGCTCAGCCTCAGGCCCAGCCTACCTCGGCTCAGCTGCCTCGACCTTCAGCCTGGCCACAGCTCGGCAGTCAAAATATGGCACAGGACTGGTGTTCTGGGAACACGAAGAACACGAAATGGCCTACAGTTGGCTCCGGGCATTTTTTTCAAAAGATGGCACATGACCTTGACCCAGAGATCACGAAGAAAACACGAAGTGGCCTAAAAAAAACAAGAAAGAAAAAAAAAAAAAAAAAAAAAAAAAAAAAAACAAAATACACACCAAAAAAAGAAAAAAAAAAAACAAAAAAAAAAAAAGAAGTTTGGGCTCCGGGCATTCAAAATGTGGCCTGGGAATGGTGTTCTGGGAAGACGAAGAACACGAAATGGCCTACAGTTGGCTCCGGGCATTCAAAATGTGGCCTGGGAATGGTGTTCTGGGAAGACAAAGAACACGAAGTGGCCTACAGTTGGCTCCTGGCATTCAAAATGTGGCCTGCGAAGAACACGAAGTGGCCTACAGTTGGCTCCGGGCATTCAAAATGTGGCCTGGGAATGGTGTGATGGGAATGGATTCCTAAGGATTCCTAAGAATTCCAAAAGATTCCTAAGGATTCCTGGGGCTGCCGGTTTTGTCCGGTTCCCGCTTCCGGTTCCCGCCCAGACCCCCCTTGTGCGTCAAGATGCTCTCTTTTGAGCCCACTAGAAACCTATCAGTCTTCGCTGTTAGGTAACAAATGACCACCCTGCTACGGAAGACCTTCAACGGCCCTACACAGCAACGACAAGCCACCGACCTCGAGGGCTCGGGCCCCTTCGCCAGGCGTAAGAAGAAATATGGGACGCCATATGTAGAACCCTTACAGGCAAGCTATTTACGGAAACATCGGATCTCTGATTTCCTGCCGCCACGGCGGCGTCGACTCTTGCTTCCGACGCCACGCGAGGCGCTCGGCCTTGGACAGCATCCGCTCTCGACGGTCAGGGACGTCCGCCCCATCTTCCGCATGGTTCTCGCGGCGTGGGCCGCTTCCCTGTGAGGACACCAGGCGACCACAACCACAGCGAGGACGCAACCTTTGGGATGTCTTGCGCATGCTATCTGTCGCCAGAGCACCGCAGCCAGCTCAGTACTGGCACTGGTTGCAGTCGATGTGAGCGCCTCAGACGGCAAACTCGACCACAGCCACAACACAGTTGCCCACGTCGAGGTCGGGGAGTTCTCCCCAGGGGGGGGCCTTCCACAAAAAATCCGCTTGGTTGTGGCAGTGGCCTGGATCCCCCTGAGCCCCAGTGCCCGAAGCGAACCCAGACAGCCTCCGATACTTGTTTAATCCGCGTCCCGGGAGGTCCCCGCATTTTGCGCCCCGGATGAATCCCACCAGCCCTCTGGGCGTAGGTGGTCTAGAACAGATCCTCTTCCACCCCTCCCTCTTCCCCCTTGGGGAGGGGTTTACCCCTCCCCCTAACCCCCCTCCCCTGGACTGGGACGGGGGGGCCCGCGGGTAGTTAGAGGTCCAAGAGGCCCAAGACGGCTCCAAGACGCCTCAGAGAACCCCCTGGAGCTCCACGAAGGCTCAAGATAGCGCAAGAATCGCTTCACGATGTGGCTCCTAAGTGGTTCCCAAGAAGCCCAAAGAAACGGCCCCAAGATAACTCCAAGTGGGCACAACTCCAAGTGGCCAAACAGCTCCCCAAGGAGGCCCCGAAGAGGCCAAAATCGTCCCAAAACCTAAGGAAAAATCAATGATTTTTGCTTTCTCGCCTTTTCGCTTCCGATGGCCATCCGAGGCCTGGAGATGGCTCCAAGATGGCCCAAGAGGGCCCCAAGAGAGCCCCAAAAGAGCCCCAAGACGGCCCAAGAGCGCCCAAGAGCACTCCAAGAGCGTTCCAAGAGGGGTCCAAGAGGCGATTTTAGGGGCTTCCGAGGGGGGGCGCTAATTAAACCCCCCCTCTTGTTTGATCGACTCCCTCCAAGATGGCCCCAAAAGCGCCCCGCAGGCTCCCCAGAGCGCCTCAAGAGGGTCCCAAGAGGCGCCCAAGATGCCCCAAGGCGCCCAAAAAGCCCTCCAAGAGGCCCTCAAAAGACCCCCAAGAAAAAAAGAAAAAGAAAAAAAATAAAAAAAAAAAAAACTCCTTCCCCCTCCTACTTCTCCTCCTCGCGTCTTCCTACTTCTCCGCCCTTCCTCCCGCCTCCTCCTCCTCCGTGCCTCTTCCCCCCTCCTCCTCCTCCTCCCTCCACGACACGACGACACGACGACGACTCCCGCTTCATCCTCACCCCTCCTCGGGGTCAGTGACCAGCGTTACTCCCCCCTAGTTATGCTGCATGCTCCCCGACGTTCCCTGATCACCTCAACTCCCCTGAGCATCGTTTCTGGATGGGGCGGTGGGGATACGCGAAGCGTCAACCATGTCTGTCCTGATGCTTCTGATGGTCCCAGAGCACGAGAACGGACCCCGGAGCCCGGAAAGAAAAGAAAAAAAAAACAAAAAAACAAAAAAAAAACAAGAATGAAATAAGAAGAAAAATAAAAAAAACGAGCCGAAGTCAAGGAAAAAACGCCCAGACTGAAAACACATATATCCTCTGGGATCTCTGGGTCTCTGGGTGCCTGGGATCTGTGGATCTCTGGGAGCTCTGGATCCCAGCATCGAAAAAAGCACCTCGGATCTCCTGGTGCCCGAAACGCGCCCCCCGAACGCGCTCAGCATCGAACGCTTCCGCCGCCGCCGCCACGCACCGGGCAGGCCCGAGCTGGATCGAATCGCGAGACCCAGTGGAATCGGAAACGCATGGGACCGCCAGCCAATCGTTCGGAACCGAATCGACACCGGATAGCCGCGCTCGGCTCCGGCTGGCCCTGGCCGAGGCCAAAAAATGGGGCCGAATCGAATCGAATCGGAGTGGCTGCCTCAGCCGGCCAGTCGAATCGCATCGAATCGAATCGCAGGCGGCCCTGCCACTGCGTGCGCCCACCTGGCGGGCTCCAGCACGCCGTCTCCGGAGCCCTCCAGCACGCCCTCTCCCGGCCAGTGCCACCGCGCCCTGGCAGCGCGAACCCGCCAGGGAGCAGCTCCCCGGTTGGGTGAGCACTAGAGGGAGAGAAGGCAGGAGGAAAGGGAGGAGGAGGGGAAGTATAAGGAGTAGTAAGATCAGGAGCAGGAGGAGGAGGAGGCAGAAGAAGAAGAAGAGTAGGAGGAGCAGGAGTAGGAGGGGCGAGAGGAACAGAAGGAGGAGAAGGAGGAGGGGAGGAGGAGGAGGAGGAAGATGAGAGGGAGGCAGGGAGGGAAAGAGGGACGATTTGTAGACGTTCTGCTACGAACGACGTGCAGGAGAGGGGGCAGGGGAGGGAGGAACGGTGGGAGGAGGGACGAGGAGGAGGAGGAGGAGAAGGAGGAGGAGGAAGAGGATGAGGATGAGGATGATGATGCTGCTGATGATGATGGTGATGATGGTGGTCATGCTGCAGATGATGCTGCTGCTGATGACGACGACGACGAGGATGTTGA